GGCAGAGTAAGAATGGCTTCTATAGATAAAGAAAGCAGAGGGCCCTGTTCAGACATGCAGCTAAATCACTTATTCCAGTGTTTGCCATTTAATATGTGTTTACTTAATATCAGTTGCTATTATGTGTTCTACAACTTTCCCCCACAAATTATTCTCTACCTGAAGAATCTAGTTTACATTTAAAAGGTCAATGCTTAAAGTCATTTCCCTGTAACCTTGATGGTTTAACCAGGCTCTAACCATATTTTATGTTAAATCAAAGGCATCTCATATCTAGAGTCAACTACAAGCTAGATATAGGACTAGAATCTTCTTTTCGATTTTAACCTAGAGAATGCTTAAACAACTTTGAAGTTTGAGTCCTGCTGGTCTGTATGAATATACAAAGTGCCCTAAATATGGAGTCAAAAGACTTGCGCTGGCGTCTTAACTCTGCCATTTACTTGTCGTATAACCTGGGAAAGATTACTTGCTCTGAGCCTCAGTTCCCTCATTTGTAAATGTAGAAAGCAACACTGTGTGATTTAAATAGAAATTTTTTATTATACAAACACAAGGACTTGTCATTTTAAGATGATGATTCTGCAGAGTCATGTTATTACTAGCTAAATTGTTCTGTTTTGAAAATATTATCAACTAATATAACTCAAAAAAAGATAGACATTATTAATGGGATATTTTATGACAAAGAAAGCACAAAGTAAAATTATTCACACATCTTGTCATCCTTAACATCATATGGGTTAATGATAATAAAACGACTGCATATTGAGTGCTTAGTATTGGTCATGCCATGTGCTATGGGCTTTTAATATACAAAGAAAATGACTCTATTATTTCCCTCTGAAGACTCAGCACCCAGCACGGTGCCTAACATATAGTGAATGTTCAACAAGTATTTGTTGGATTAATTTTCTCTTTAGATTTTTGCAATAGTTGTAGAAGTATCTATCATTGTCCCCATTTGATTAGATGAGGCCTATAGGGTCGCTATGAATTGGAATCTACTAGAGAGCAACACGTTTACGGAGAACTTAAGTCATTTACTAAGAGTTAGATGCGAAACTAGAGCGCTATTCTAGGTTTTAACTTGCATAGCTTATTCTGCAACTCTCAGAAAGCTGCTTCCTTCAACAATTTACTTTAAAATATTAATCTCCTGCTGATTAATTATGGTAATCAGGAATTAAAAGGTAGTTATCAGGAATTCCAAGCTCCCCACCTTCCTCTTTGAGTAAGAGGTGGTGAAAATTCCTCTAACATAAAGGTGTTTTGTGCAGATCATCTGCAGCCGAATGGAGGAGTACAACAGCCATCAAGCTTTATGCAATGGAACACCTGAGGGACCGTTACTGCGCAATCCTGGAAACCATGACAAAGCCAGGACCCCGAGGCTCCCCTCCTCAGCTGATGTGGACTTCTGCCTGAGTTTAACACAGTATGAATCTGGCTCCATGAATAAAGCTGCCAATTTCAGCTTTAGAAATACACTGGAAGGTAATACATTTTCTTTCAATCATTTTTACTTTTTTTTTCTGAATTCATGTTTACAATCTTTTATCCAAAATCTCAGTCCAGTGGTGTTTGCTAAGTCAGAATTTTATGATTTGAGCAAGAACATATGAGGGACGAACAGACGGATGGATGGACAAATGGACAGACAGACAGTCAATTACCCCAAGCAGAGTGTGGGCAGCACACCATAATTCAACACATTAATAAGGTTTCAATACATTTTATTAGCTCTTATGCCTCTGTTTCATGTCCTTATCATTTTCTTTCTTTGCTGTCTTTCTCTTTGGCATAACTCATTTTATATCTACACAGTCCCAGGCCTGGAATCAGCCATATCTCTAAAGAGCAATGGTTCCTTTCAGTGGGAAATGATAGTACAGACTATTATCTACGCACAGGTTTTGCTCACTGGAGAGGTACATTTTCTCTCAGAACCTGCACAGGGTGGGGATGGGAGTTGTCCTGGCCTGTAGGTATTACTCCAGCGATTAAAGCTGTGAGGAGAGCAGGGTTAGAGAGGCAGGAACAAAGACAACCATTACACTCTGCTCTCTCAATAAATGCATGTGGAATTGAATTGTTGCTTTTGAATAAACCTTGCAGTTACTGCTGCTCTTTTTAACTTTTGGGCATTATGAAAGGTGTGTAATGTACTTCCCATTGAACAAATTCTCACAGTTAGAGCTGGACTGGAGGAATTGTTGGATTTTTGTCTTCTGAAGTCATTTATGTGACCTCAGCTTTCCTCTTAGATTCCAATATTGAAATAAAGAATGAAGATGTGCAATTTATGAGTTGAGTAAAAGAGACTTCATGTTCCCAAATAAAACAAAGAAAAATAAGTCTGTTATAAAAGACAGTCTTCTAATTAGGCTGAATAGGTGGCTCC